TCATCAATCACCAAAACACCTTAGGGATAAATATGCCCTTATAGTTGTCAACAAGTAAATCATCATCACCTAACAAGTCATCTTCATCATTATTGAAATCAACATACTCGGGGTGTGATACCTTTGGGCCTTTAGCCATGAAGCATCTTCCAATTCCTTCATTTGGTGAGTCCAATATGTCGTAGGAGTTGGTTGACACAAGTGCTAAACCAGCAACACCTTCATCTTGAGTATGTTCGGAGTCAGAGTGATAGCTTCTCTCGGAGTGATGGTCGGAGTCGGAGCCGGATACCCATTCACCAACATGAGCTTGATGTCTTTGCTTTGTGTAGCTCTTTGATGATTTGTCCTTCCTTTATGAATCCTTGCTTCTCCGGGAGGTTCTTCGTTCATAATGATCATCTCTACTCCTCCTCTCTCTTGGTGGTGATTCTTCTCTTCTACTTCTTCTTTTGGGTGAATCTTCTCTCCTTTTGTAAGGAGCCGTACACTCATTGGAATAGTATCCGGGTCTTCCACAGTTGTAGCAATTACGTTCATAACTCGAAGATCTTTTGTCATTGTAGGACCTTGACTTGGAACTTCTTTCCTTGCTTCTACTCTTGTAGAACTTGTTGAAGTTTTTCATCATTAAGCTCAATTCTTCATTGAAGGTTTGTTTCTCACTTGATGATCTAGGAGCATCACATTAGGCTTTGTAAGCACCACTTGACCTGTTGTGAAGCTCTTCCTTATCCTTGAGTGACATCTCATGAGCAACAATTCTTACAATGACTTCTGTTGGCTTGAGATCTTTGTAATTGGGCATCATTTGGATCAATGTGCACACGGTATCATATTTTCCATCCAAGGCTCTTAGGATCTTCTTGATGATGAATCTATCAGTCATCTCTTCACTTCCTAAGCCGACAATCTCATATGTGACGAGAGCAAGCCTGGAGTACATTTCAGTGACACCTTCACCATCCTTCATTTTGAACTTGTCAAGTTGACTTTTAAGCACATCCAATTTGGATTCCTTGACGGAGTCGGTACCTTCGTGCATGTCAATCAAAGTATCCCAAATTCCGTTTGCATTCTCAAGGCGGCTGATTTTGTTGAATTCTTCGGGGCACAATCCGTTGAAGAGGATATCACAAGCTTGAGCGTTGTATTGCAACATCTTCAACTCTTCTGCGATAGCTTCACGGTTCGGTTCTCTCCCATCGAAGAATTCACCTTGCAAGCCAATACACACAATAGCTCAAACGGCGGGGTTATGTCCAAAATATGCATTTTCATCTTATGCTTCTAACTAGCAAAATTAGTACCATCAAAATAAGGACCTCTACGGTGGTAATTTCCCTCACTAGACGCCATACTCTCCTAGGTTGTGAAACCAAGACTATGATCACCAAAAGCTATGGAAATCAAGGCAAATGGAGACCAAAGCTCTGATACCAATTGTAGGATCGAAAGTATGTCTAGGGGGGGTGATTAGACTACTTGACCAAATAAAAACTTAACCTTTTTCCAATTTTAGTTCTTGGCAGATTTTAACAACTTAGCACAAGTCAAGCAATCTTAACACAACTCAAGCAAGCATGCAAAGAGTATATGAGCAGCGGAAAGTAAAGCATGCAACTTGCAAGAATGTAAAGGGATGGGTTTGGAGAGTGCAAACGCAATAGGAGACACGGATGTTTTTTTCGTGGTTCCGATAGGTGGTGCTATCGTACATCCACGTTGATGGAGACTTCAACCCATGAAGGGTAACGGTTGCGCGAGTCCACGGAGGGCTCCACCCATGAAGGGTCCACGAATAAGCAACCTTGTCTATCCCACCATGGCCATCGCCCACGAAGGACTTGCCTCACTAGGGTAGATCTTCACGAAGTAAGCGATCTCCTTGCCCTTACAAACTCCTTGGTTCACTCCACAATCTTGTTGGAGGCTCCCAAGTGACACCTAACCAATCTAGGAGACACCACTCTCCAAAAGGTAATAGATGGTGTGTTGATGATGAACTCCTTGCTCTTGTGCTTCAAATGATAGTCTCCCCAACACTCAACTCACTCTCATAGGATTGGATTTGGTGGAAAGATGATTTGAGTGAAAAGCAACTCGGGGAAGGCTAGAGATCAAGATTCATATGGTTGGATTGGAATATCTTGGTCTCAACACATGAGTAGGTGGCTCTCTCTCAGAAAATGGGTAGTGGAAGTGTAGGCACGATCTGATGGCTTTCCTCACGAATGAGGAGAGGGTGGAGGGGTATATATAGCCTCCACACAAAATCTAACCGTTACACACATTATACCAAACTCGGTGGGACCGAATCAGAAAACTCGATCGGACCGATTTAGTACATATATGACCGTTAGGCAATTTCGGTGGGACCGACATGTCATCTCGGTGGGACCGATATCATTAGGGTTAGGGCATAACGTAATCTCGCTTGGACCGATTACTCAAACTCGGTTGGACCGACTTCGGTAATAAGCTAACAGAGAGTTGGTCAGGCAAACTCGTTGGGACCGATTCACTCGTCTTGGTGGGACTGAAGCGTTACGAAAAGGAAACAGGGAGTTTGCATTGCAGACTCGGTGGGACCGATCGCTCATCTTGGTTAGACGGAAACGTTACGAAGGGAAACAGAGAGTTTGCAACCCCATCTCGGTGAGACCGAGATCCCTATCGATGAAACCGAAAAGACTAGGGTTTATGGCAGTGGCTATGTCAAATGGACTCGGTGGCGCCGGATGGATCAAATCGGTGGGGCCGAGTTTGACTTTTGGTTTGAGACATATGTGGATATGAGAAAGTGGTTGAGGGCTTTTGGAGCATATCACTAAGCAAGCAAGCCATTAAGCAACACCTCATCCCCTTTTAATAGTATTGGCTTTCCTATAGACTCAATGTGATCTTGTATCGCTAAAATAGAAAATGTAGAGTCTTGGACTTTAGAGCTTGAGCCAGTCTTTTGTCCTTAGCATTTTGAGGGGTCCACATTCCTTATCCATGCCATGCCAATCACTGAACTTCCCTGAAATTTTTATCTTGTAATGGCATTAGTTCAATGAGCTATATGTTGTTAATCATTACCAAAACCACCCAAAGATAGTTGCACTTTCACCTTCCCCCATGCTCACCCGGTCGAGCGCACGCCCTCGCCCGCCTTCGCCGGTGTGCATTACGCTCCATACACGTACTCGCCGCCGGACTACACAGCCTCCCCAACGAAACCTCTCCGTCGCGGCTAGCTGCTCTTCTCACAAGCCTCCTCTCCGCATCTTGGCGACGCCGACGCGACGGACGCCGACATGGAAGACATTATCGCAGCCGGCTCGGCTGCCGCCGCTGCTTCCCCCGGGTTCATTGCCCAAGACGACCCAATTGATCTTAGCGACATGGACGGCGAGCTCGACTACGACGAGGAAAGGCAAGAAAAAGAAGAAACAAGCGTCCAGGACTGGGGACCGTGGGGGAAGAAACGATCAAGTGGGAGTCCAAGGAGGACGAGTGCCTCGCTGAAGCGTGGAAAGTCGTGTGCCTCGACCCGATCACCAGCACGAACCAGAACATCGACGCGTATTGGGACCGCATCAAGGCCGAGTTCGACGAGCGCAAACTCGTCGACCCCTACTTTAAAGGCGTCTACATGCAGCGTGGGTCGAAGGCGATGGTGAACCATTGGGGGCTCATCCAAACGGCATGCAACAAATGGCATGAGATCGTCGAGGAGATCGCGGCTCGCCCGGAGAGCGGCGCTAGTGTCGAGGATTAGGTACATCACGTCGTCCTCTCCCTATTCCTTTCATCGTGTGCGCGCCCGCGCTGACTGATGTTCGTTCCTCGGCGCAGTTGCTGCGCATGTTCGCCATGTTCCGCGGTGACAACAGCGACCAAGAGTTCAAGTACCTCCACGTCTTCAAGCGGATCGACAAGTGCGAGAAGTGGGCGGATGTCCGGCGCACCCTCGCCAAGGCCAAGGAGACATACAAGCCTGACGCGCCGACCCCGGGCGGCAACAAAGGGGCCAAGAAGGCCAAACACGCCGAGTCGGCTGCCGCGCGTGTGCAAGAGTCCATCGAGCATTGCCTCGCCGACGCCAAGACCAGGGCCGCCCTGTAAGAAGAGAAAACTGAGGCGCGGTGGTCGGCGTTGATGATGAATAGTGCCGTCAAACACGACTTGCTACGGACCAACGTCGACTTGCTCCGGACCAACGTCGCCGCGAAGAAGAGGAACACCGACCTGCTTTCTTGATGGGCGGCGCTGACATGCTCGAGAGCGGCGATGAGCAGCTCAAGGCGTGGTACCTGGCGGAGCGCGGCCTCATCCTGAACCAGATACCGACGACGCCTACGTCAACTCCCACGCCGACGCCAACGACACAGCCAAGCCCGAGTGATGATGCCTCCGCGACGCCCAGTAGCACAAACGCCGCCGACCAGCCAAAAGCCGCGCCGACGCCGCCCAGCCCGCGCACGCGACGCCGACCAGCCCGCGCACGCCGACGCCGACCCCTCAAACGCCGGAGGCCGACCTCGCCGTTTGATGCATTCCTTGCGTGTCCTTTCTTTTTGTGCGCCGAACTTTTTATTTGATCGCCGAATTGTTGCGCCGATCGCCGGATTATGACTTTTTTTGAAGCGGGAACGGATCAAGTTTGAATGTACTGCGCCTTGGGGGCGGCACCTGGGGGCGTGGTTGGGGCCTTGATCGCCCCCAGGGCCTAAAAATCGCCGGATGAACGCCCGAAAGAGCGCTGCCTATGCGCTGGGGGGCCGAACGAGTGGAGATGCTCTAACTTTTAGCGCTGTCTATTTAAAAAAAAACTTTTAGCGCTGTCTAAAATTGGCCGCTCAGAAAAAAAAACAAACAAAGGGAAAAACAAAACAAAACAAACGCAAAGCCCTCCTCCTCGAATCCATTCCATCCTACCGTCTCATTGCTCCTCCCCACCATCCCACTCGTCAGATCTCTCTCTACCCCGCCTCCCCCTCCGGCCTCCGCCCATGTCGGTGTCATCGCGCTTCGAGCTCCGGGTAAAACCCTAGCTAGTCCGCAGATCGACGCGCCCCCTCCCTCTAGCTCCCCTCGCTGGCGACGCCCCTAACCCCCCCTCTCCTTCCAATTGCAGGCCTCGTCGAACCTTCACCAGCAGCCACCGCCTCCCGTCGGCATGAGGTGAGCACCACGATTTCTAGGTTTTTGTCCTCATGCGATGGATGGGGGGTTTTCAGAGTGGTCGGTCACCCCTCTCTGATGGCTGTGAGGGCCGACTCGTCGCTGTGTTGTTGTTGCAGCGGCGATGTGGGGACATTCGCCGACGCGGGGAACCTCGAGCACTGCGCCAAGTACCTCAATCAGACGCTCGTTACCTTCGGTTTCCCGGCCTCGCTCGACCTATTTGCCACCGATCCGGTCCGTCGCTCACGTCTCCCGCCTTTCGAGACAGTGTCGTCCCTTTTCTCTAAGCATTGGTGTGAATTTTGTGTTCACTTTTCGGTTAGGATCTAACTTGCCATTTGCATGCTATTGTATTAATTTTATGACAGTTTAGGGTGCTCTTTCTGCTCGTTTTCCAGTTAAGGGCATATTTGGATTTCAGAAATTTCAAAACCTAAGAAATAGGAAAAACGCTGGATTCAGATGCCATGTACTTCCTACAGGATTTTCTAAAACACATGAATTAACACGGGAATTTTAGAGGATTGATGAGAGAGAGATAGAGTGAAGGTGCATTGGACTTCTCAAAAGAAAAAGAAAAGGAGGTTTGAGCTCATGATGAGATCCCTATAAAATAGGGGGCATAGCAATGGATTTCATAGGAATTTAGTAGTCCTAATCCTAGGATCCGAAGGGTTTTCATAGGAAAATTTCCTTAGGATTCAAATCCTCTAATATTCCTATGAAAACCCCACAATCCAAAGAGGCCCTAAACTCTGTCTGTTTGGATCTTCTTCTTCTTCTTCTTAGTAGAACAAACTTCCCTTCGTTTGTGGTGTTGGTGGTGAATGGGTGAATGTTATCTTTCAGGCGCTTCTTTTTCTAAATTTTCTATATTCTGTCTCTGTGACGCAGGTATCTATTGCAAGAACATGCAACTGCATGTATGCACTGCTGCAGCAGCGCCAGAGAGACATTGAATTCCGGGAATCGACCAATGATCTACGGCAACGGTGAGCTTTCCATTTCCCTGATCTGTATTTGAGGGTATGACTTGGACGTACTATGCAGTGTTTAGTTATGCATTGCACACCAGATCTGCAGGGTAGTACAGTTAAGCAATAAAGTACACCGCACAATGCTGCCCTGTAAGGACAGATTGATAGTCGTCCGTGATGCCTCCTGCTCTGGGACGATATTATTGTGACCACATCTTTTTTACTTCCTTAAGCTTTGTCATGAATGTACATGATGTATCACTCTGTTTGGTTAATTGACATAATGTTTTGCACCAGGGGATTAGGCCACTGTTATGCAACCTGAAAATGTGACTTCGCATAGTGCATGCCATTCTTTGTGAACACCTTCTGAAGTTTACTCTTTATTAGAGTGTGACAGTCCTACAGAATTCAAGCGCAATCTTTCATATTTCTGTGTGTTCCTGCCCTTTTGCCCCCTTTGACCCCTTGCATTTTCTGCTGCTACTGCCTCCAATAACCCAGTTTCCATATTTTTCTTGTGTAATTTAACCAGTTCTTGTACTCGATGTGAGTCCTTTTTTTTTGTGAGCCAAACAAATGCCTATAGCTCGGAAACAGACATAATGAAGAAAATGAGGTTTGCCACAATGAACTGAGTGTGATTTGAGATGACATCAGTATAGCACCTGCTCTTTAGCTTTATAACTATATCCTTCGAGTTTGAATCTCAATCTTGCTTGAATATGAAGTTCGAGTTATGTTAATCCACCGAGCATTTTATTTTTGCTGTTGAATCAAACTAGATATGGTAATTCTATTAGACTGTTGCCTTTGACATCATCTTATACGGGCCAAACCTTAGGGGTGGCCCAATCTTCACGATTGGAGGTGGATTCACTGATGAACATGAACAACAAGAAGAAAACAAATGGGAAATCAAAAGGAAAAAACACACAGGGCAAGATTCACCACCAAGTACTCACTCAGCACAAAGTCAATACAAGAGGTGCATCTTAGATCCAACAAAAGGCATTTCATCCCCAAATCCAAGGAGATGGGGGTTTTGAGAGATAGTTCTTCCCTAAATCTGAAGAGTTGGAGGGCTTATATTACGGAATCTTTACCCATGGGTGGCCTTGTACTCCTGGGAGTCTTCTCCCTCGAGAAGTCTTGATCCCACACAGCCTTGTATTCTTCATGGTTGGAGGTGGATTCACGGATGAACACGAAGAACAAGAAGAAAACAAAGGGGAAATCAAGTGGAAAACACACATAAGGACAAGATGATCCACCAAGTACTCACTCATAGCACAAAGTCAATACAAGAGGTGCATCTTAGATCCAACAAACACATAAAGGGAGAAGGGTAACAAAAGGCATTTCATCCCCAAATCCAAGGAGATGGGGTTTTGAGTGATAGTTCTTCCCTAAATCCGAAGAGATGGACGGTTTATATTCCAGAATCTTTACCCTTGGGTGGACTTATGCTCCTCGGAGTCTTTTCCCTTGGGAGGTCTTGATCCCGCACAGGGTGATAGATTGAGGAAAGCTATCTCAAGTTATTAGTCTCTACTTTGCTAATCCTAGATCTGGTCCTAGGTACGATTTATATAGGTAAGGGACGACCAGGATCTCCTTGCTTGTGCTGCTCTTACTAATGAGAGCACTGTTGAGACTCCCATGGAGCTCAATGTTCACCTCAATGCTTCTGATGGTGATGGCGACCCCTTGTCTGATCTAACGCGTTATCACCATCTTGTTGAGAGTCTTGTCTATCTAGCTATCACTCGTCTGGATATCTCCTATCCTGTTCATATTTTGAGTCAGTTTGTTTTTGTTCCCAGTTCGGTTCACTATAGCCACCTTCTTCGTGTTCTCCATATCTCGCTGTCTTTTCTTTCCCTGATCCAGTTCGTTACAGTTTCAGACCTGTTCAGATGGTATGTGGGCTAGTGACTCCTTGGAACGCTGTTCACTTTCTGCTTGCTGTGTTTTTCCTGGCTGTTCACTCGTTGCCTAAAGACGAAGAAACGGACTGCAGTTTCCGTTCGAGTGCGGAGGCTGAGTTGCGAGCTATGGCTCTTCTGACGGCAGATGTGACCTGGTTATGGTGGTTATTGGTTACTTCAGGAGTTTGGTGTGTCTGTTACTACACCTACTACACTCTTGTCCAACAGTACAAGTGCTATCAGTGTTGCGCGTGACCTTGTGAAGCATGAGCTCACCAAACACATTGATGTTGATGCTTCTTTTGTGCGTGCTGGTGTGCAAGATCTGGTTATTGCTCTTCAGTATGTGCCTTCCAAGTTACAGCTGGCGGATTTCTTTATGAAGGGGCAGACTAGAGCTCTTCTCTCCCCAAACTCAGTGTTGTG